GAGCCCTTCCCATATCTTCATGCGCGAAGCCTAGCCATGATGATGATGGTGATTTTTTAAAAATCTTAGTTTCAATTTTTCTTACCCCTGTGGGTGCAGTGTATATATAGTCTCATTTATTCTAGTCTTCATGTGCTTATATGATGCTTTTCAAGTCCAACGCTTTTTATACGTACTGTTAAAAGGGCAAATAAACCCAGACGAAAAGTACATCACTTCTTCATGGCAGACAAGTGTCACTTCGAACAATGCCATTTAAAGCACTCTGCCCTAACATTTTTTGATATTACCATCAAAAAAGTGTACTAAGGAAAATAATAATATGGAAAATGCTATAATTAAATTTGCTTATGCTGTATTTATACCATGAATAGAATTTCTGTGAATAGCATCTTGAAAAAAATAATTTTTAACTGGGTTTTTATTTTTAAAGACACATACAAAATACGTCAGCTTATGGATGTAATGTACTGAAGCAGAGCTTTTTTTTAAAGCAGAGCTTTAGCACCTTAGATCCATAAGGTGAAGTATTTAGTACATTTGCATACACATTTAGTACACGTGCATACACAAGAAGTTCCATTTATGTTGATAATACTCCTATATAAAAGCAAGGACTCTGGCCGACTCAGCTTCAAAAGACTATCAAACATCACAAAAAATAATTTAAAGTTGCAGTAAAAATTAACAGCTCTCACCTCCTCAAGTAGTTTATTTTCATTTACTTTTTTTGTTTGAATGTCTTTTTGATAGATGTCAAGTGTCGCCTTGTGTTGCTTGTCCATGTTTTCCATCTCTAACTGTAATTTATTCACCTTTTGAGAGTGCAGAATTAGTGCTGTTATTTCTTCAGGAATAAATATGCCAATGATTTTTTTTTTACATCTTATTTTCAAGCAGAACCCACTCTGTTACTTTTCAGGTATATGACTGAACTGTTTCATAATTAATGTTCAGCTTTTTTCATAAAGAATTGAACTTTGGCCTGAAGTGAGTTAGTAAATACTCATACAAACAGCAATATCACAATGGGAAAGACAGCCCATACCAGTTTTATTTAGTTAGTTCTAAAAAAGATTAATTCCTTCTAGCTGCTAATATTAATTAGAATTTGGTATGAAACAAATAGGGAAAGCCTATTCCTAAGCAGTCACCCCAAATGCTCTGAATTCTCTGAAATAAAGACACAGATGGAGATTTTATTCCCTCTGTTGCGAACCAATTGAAGATTTTAACTGTTTTCACACAATCACAGAATGTCAGGGATTGGAAGGGACCTCAAAAGATCATCTAGTCCAGCCCCCCTGCCAGAGCAGGATCACCTACTTTTTTTATGGTATGTCTTCCTCCCAAGTGTGCATTTTGGTTACAGTTTTCCCTTTTGTTTCTCATAAGAATACCCTCAAAACAGTCTACATCTCTCTTGAACTGTGGTACCCAAAACTGGACACAATATTCTAGTCAAAGACTTACCACTGCAGAACATAGTAAAAGAACTACCTGAAGTGAATAATATATGCATTTTGTAAAATTTCTTTTCATTTCAGTGGTGTGGCACTACTGAATAATGTTCATCATACTATCAACCAAAAAGGAAAAGGCACGATGATGAACATAATCCCTTCAGATGTGATGTCCACTTTTTACAATGTCCGATAGCCCAGTCAGTGCCCAATAATTAAAAATGGAAGCATTTTCCAAAAATTATGGGTTCATTCCTATAAAATCTGTATTCCAGATCCATAAAACAGTTAAGACAGTGCTTAGCATGTATTATCACAGGGACTTAAAATATTCAGTCTTGTACATGAAGTTATTTAAACCTACCTTCCCTTCATAAATACTTGTTTTCTTGCTTTCTGCAGTAATTTTTTTTTTCAGCACCTTATTCTGTTAAAATACAATAAATACTATACTTCAATAAGTTAACAGAATTATGTAATGATTTAACTGCATTAAGTAGGTGAGAATCTTCAAAGTTCATCTTTCAGCAAGCAAATAACTTTTTTTTCTTGTGCATTCAGGTTCCAGATCAATTCTCCATCCAGAAGAGTACTCAACTACTTGCTTTAATAATACTGTTAATTCATGACCTTATGAAAGACTCCTCACAGTCAACAACAGAGAGTAACAAAAGAGGGTGCAGTATGGGAAGAAAAGCTAAGATGCTGCTAACAGAAAATATGCAGATTTCATGACAAAAAATACAAGCTATGCGTTTTACAGTACATCTATTAACATCTTGTTCTAATGCAAGATTCTTTTCTACTATTGATAACTGAGATAGGTCATTGAACTAGTACTAAATAAACATAGTAGAAGTTTATTAAAGAATTATTTCTGTAACTGCATTTTTCCAAGGTAATAATTTTATAAATCAAGTAATTCCAAAGGTGTCTCCTTAATTTGCTCAGAATTAGGCATGTTATAAATTACACACGGATGTCTAAAGATATCACTTCAGACAGAAACTGGTGAAAAGTAAGTTACCACAAAATACCATGGGTTTTGTATTTGTGGCTTTAAGAAAACGTACATACCTCCTGTTGCAACTCTTCAATGCATTTGGTTTTATTTTCCACCTGTTTCTTTAAATTATTCAACTAAAAAAAGATATTTCAGACATTAATTATCTCCTAAAAAATGATTCACTGTGTCAGAGGTTACTGTCAATGTTCTTAAACATGCATTTGCACAAGTCTGATTAATTCCAATGGGACTGAAACATACGATAATATGTTACAATGATTGGGGTTTTAACCATAAAGTACTACAATTGTGCTAGTCCAATATCACCAACATTAATAACAACAAACCAGTTTGTCAGTGGTTGTAGTTTAGAAAGAAGTAACTTCGCAATTTAAAAAATAATCTTGTATGAAATTCTCTACAATCCATGAAAAAATAAAATTTCATACCTTATTTTCTAGAATCTTCAACTGCTTTTCCTTTCTTGACATTTCGCTTTCAATACTCTTAGCCTGGAATTAAAATTGTAAATTTTAGACTGTTACAATAAAATACTGAAATCACAAGGGTGCTTTGAAAATATACAGTAAGAAAGTAAAAATATTTGAACATATTTAAACTAAAACTTGTATTATATATTGAATGCCATATCCATACCTCATCTATTACTAAGTGGGTATATGGAAATAAAAAAAAAGAAAGGGGTTCTCTGTTTGCCTGAAATGTAATGAATCTGGATTTTTAAGCATCCATGTGAAAAGAAAACACCCCAGTGCAGTTGCTTGTCTTTCAAAATACAAGGGCTCAGCATGTGAACATATGATGACCCAATTGGTAGCGTCACTTAAAGAAGAAAGCCTCCATAACAGATTACATCCCTAGGCAGAGCTTTGCAGAAAAGAAAGGGGAAAGAACCCCAAAAAAATAAGTTGTACATTTAGATTTTGTTCTACAGATTATGTTATATATTTTTATGATAAATCAAATATGGCATACATTTTCTTCACTTTCATCCAGTTTGCTTTTAATCTCTTCACCTTTCTTTGCCATCTTCTCCTTCAAAGACTTCAATTCATTTCTGAATGCCAAATTAAGAAGCATTAGTAAATACTAACTTTAATCTCTTTTCACTACTGCTCAAAAACCCCATGCTTTATTTTCTAAAAAGAGCTGCTAATATCGATGAGAACTTCATACGCTGATGCAAAGTGACTGTTAAATTGTCTGACCTGTACGTTCATTTTGTAAGTATGGAAGGATATTCCCCTTACCTGAGTAAAATATACTCTAATCTGTAATTCTGTCTGTTGGGTTGGTGGTACAGAGACCACTTCAGAAAGTAACATTTAACCAGTTTCATCTTTTCACATATAATCCATAACTTTTATTTTCATTTTCTTCATATCCTACATAAAGGATAGCTCTATGTATATAATGCAAAACTATGGCAAAAATTGTTCCTGTAGCAACAGGTATCACTAATTTGTAGAAACTTCTGCATGGCCAACATCAATACTAAACAGCTTCTGTTTAGCTATATAGCCTAAAAAAAAAGCATTAATATAAAAATCACAGCAGTATATGAACCAAATATTTAGACTAACTGTGGAGGAATCAAGCCTACTTTTTTTAATAGTATTGTACAGTACTATTTGATTTTACTTGCCTTAGCTGGCCATTTGCTTCTTCCAAGTTTTCAACTAACTGCTTTGTATTTTCTTCTTTTTTTCTACCATCCTGAATAAAGACCCATGTAAGTAAAAGGAATGAAGTTCCAAGTGACATCTTAAAAAATTCAAAGACAAGTCAAGCATTGTCTTGACCTGCCTTATTCAGAAAGGTAACTGCACTTCCTTTGTATTTTAAACACAGAAAATAGTTTGGATACTCTACAGAAGCATGTCAATTTGCAGTTTACCATATCATTTGTATTTTAAATTGAATGTTGAACTTTAAAAACAGCTGGAAGCTTGCAACTTGCCTCACAACTTTCTTGCAGTTTTTTTAGTTCTGTTGCCATGCTGCTTTTCTCTTGTGCTATTTGTTCCTTTTCTAATAAAACCTTATTGATATATACTGTTAGTTGTTCATTCTTTAGCCTAATTTAAAAAAAATATGGTCAAGAGAAATACGAACATGTATGTTGAAATTTCCATTTAATTTATCTGTTACGTCATGCTGAAATAAGTCCAGGCCTGTATTTACAAATTTAAGCTTTGCAGCAAAGTTACGGTGGTGCAAAATGGCAAAAAGAGAAGGAATTTTGGTTTTTGAAGACGATGTAGTTCAATAGCCAGCTCAAAGCACAGTTAATGAATTCAGAAACTTTCTTTTCACATTAACCCAACTAAGTCACAGAGCTATGAACAGCTACATACATAAAAATATAGAAAAATTAATTTATAAATAAGTATATAACAGATGTCATAATGGATGTGCACAGGTTCCAAATTTTCATTAGACAACAAAAATAGATTATTTCATTGTATCTTAACTTCTATATAACACTCTCCAGAAATTAAATTAATATTGTATTTTAAAAATGATCATACGCCTCTTGTTCAAGATCTGTATTCAGTGTCGTTAGCTGTTTTAAATAATTTTGTTCCTTTTCAGCTGTACTAGTCAGTTGTACTTTCAAATCATGAATTTCTTTCTGCAGAGGAGAAAGAAAATGTTTTGAATATGCTTATGTAAACTACAAGTCATGAAAGCTATCAGAAATGAACTGACAACACAAAGCTTTAAGGTGAAACAAAAGGACATACATGCCACAAATTAGTCAGACTGTGCTGTACACCTCTCTGCTGCGAAATGTAAGTAGAAGCAGAGTGAGATACTGAAATCTGATTCAAGTGCTAAATGCGTCCCCTATTGAAGTCTAACTAGTCTGCAGAACTACTGACAATATCCAGTGCTATGTGCTAGAATAAGCACATATTTTGGATGCATCCCAAACTACAAAGCAAAATTCTTCTCTCAACAAATTTGCTGCCATTACAAGAAAAAGCAAGCCTTGTAATGTAACCTACAATATATATATATTATAACAATATATAAATGCGTTGCATACTGTTTCCTCCAAACAACTGGCGACAGATTGATAGCACAGGCACTGGCAGGCAGTTGACAGGGGCAGGTGGGGAGGGACTGAGAGAGAGCAAAGGATTAGTTTCTAAGCAGAGCACATCATGAACTTCTGGAATTTGTTTTCACAGGCGGCTATGGAGACACAAGGAGGTTCAAAGACGGACACAACAAGTGAACATGAACAAGTCCATAAACTGACAGGGATAGGTCCTCAAACATCCTTAATATGGCTCCTGTAAGTGGAACGGACCATGGATAATGGTCTGGCTGCTCTACTACATAGTACCTCCGGCTGTCCTTGCCACAGCAGAGCAGTGCACTGGGTGGAGCATTGGTCTGACTATTCCATAATTCTCATGTTCTTATATATGAGTGATACTGTGTAACTGAACTATCTATAAAAATATGCTACTATGACCCTTTATTCAGACCTCTCTGATTTGAAGAACATTTTTTGTTTCTTTTTCTCTCTCCTGCAAATTTTCTATGGTAGCCTCAAGATCTTCCTTCTTCACAAGAAGTCCTTCAACTTTTCCCTGTTTAAGAACATTAGTGAAACCCAGTTCAGAAAATTCAATGAACAGTATATAAGGAACAAATGTACACAGTAAAATGCTTGGTTATTCCTTAAAGACCAAAATGAGATCAGGCTTTACAAGGCTTTATTTTTAGAAGACTATTATGAAGAAAGCTAGCCCCTCAAAAAATTCTATTTACTGTTGAAAACTAGTTGATCCCTCAGCCTCAAATGTCACATGTGTAGTGCTCACAAGGTTTGAGCTAATGTTCGTAACAAAAAGAGAAGAAAAAAACAGTACTGTTCAGAATGAGGAAAGACTAAGTACTAGCCGTAACTAAAAATGGGAAATTTTATGTTCAGAGGGAGTGAATTTGAATAGGTGTGAATGAAGAAGGAAATGGCCAGAAATCTTGTCAAGGAAAACCAAAACAAAACAGAAAAAAAATAGGAAACAGTGGAAAGAACCAAGTCCTTCAAAGAAAACACTGAAATTGTCTAGAAGACGGATAAGAAAGGTTACTAGCAACATTAAGGCAGATTAGACAGTGTTTATATATGGCATTTAAGATACTTAAAAAGTAAGAGAGACTTCATATGAAAAGTAAATGTCATGAGACATGCCCAGGGACATGTTTTAGAAGTTGGCCTGGTAGAGTTTGATAGTGGTTGGACTTGATGGATTTTGAAGGTCTTTGCCAACCATAATGATTCTATGATTCTACAAGGCTAATAAAATTAATGTTTACCAGCGTTTCTGACAGCTCTTCAAGTTGCATTTCCTTGTCACATTTCAGTTTAGTCATCTCTTCTACAGCACATGTAACATGAAAGTAATTGAACAGAAATAATTTTACATATTTAGCAGATAGTATAAAGCATTTATCCCTTTGCAGTATCCAATTTTCAAAATTTGTGGGATTAAGTTCAGGAATTGTAAAGCTAAATTAGGACTTAATCTAAATGTAGAGTTGGAAAAATTATTCAGGAAGACATAAGCAAATATATATCTGAAAAGAAACCATTCATCTTCTGTAAAATTCAGAGCCTATTATGTTTTCCACCAATCATCACTTCAGATAAACTGTAGACTGTAAGAACAACGTAATCTCTGAGTATTGATGCATCTGCATTTTTCCAGAAAAAAATCTAGACTGCTGAAGATATCCACGTGGATACACTGAAAAAGGAAACCACTTACTACTTCAAAATGTTTTCTATGCGCACATTCACATCACACCAGTCTTGTTTTTGCTTTGGAATTCTCACAGGTCACATCTCACCTTGTTCTAGAGAAGCATTAGCAGTTAACTTCTCAACGCTTATCTTTAGATGCCCTCAATATATACAAGGACATCAAATTATATTTCTCATCTATCCTATCAGGACTAAAGCATGTGCTGCACACTAGGAAAACAGTGCTAAAGATAGATCTCTTACTCCAGGGGCTACGAAGTGCATGCCTAGAAATTACAGGATATCAAAGCAATATGTAAAGCTAGCCAGTGTGAGGAATTCTACATCCACCATGGGGAGGAATGGTCTGCAAGAAAGCTTAATGCAAGTGTTTTTTCTCTGCTACAAGCTACAGAACTCATTCCTGGAATCTACTGTTCAGCAGTCCAAGACTACGTCTCAAACAGGTCTGCGGTGCTATCAGTCTTAACTGGAAGACTGCAGAGAAATCAAAACGAATCCACACGGGTGTGATCTTACCATTGGAGGTCTGCATAGCACCACTGTTTGACTGTTGCTAGCTCCAATGACTACCACAGAAAAGGAAGTCAGACGAGTAAAAATAAATTTAAGCACTCCAGACATTTACAGGGTACTGTAAAAACATTTTTCCAAGCAACAGGGACAGTTCATTTTCAGAACACAGCAGAAAACATTTTTATTACTGCCTAGCTCATTTTTTTCCTTGATACAAATCTTACCCAGTTCAGCAGACTTATTTCTGAGTTCCAAGGTAAGTAGCTTTGACTCCTCTTCATATTTCTCCGATCTAAGAAAACGGTAATAAAAAAAAAATTGTATAGTATGAACCACTGCATTTGAAACTAAAGGATAGTAAGACAAAGTCCTACCACAAGCATTTAAGAACATCTGCCTTTCAACAAGCAGATAATATATATGCTTGCAACATGTATGAAATATCACTTTTACAACTTCTGAACAGCGCTAAAAAGTAAACAAATATATACATACATAAATCTGTAATTCTTAAAAATGGAATTGCAGAAGTCAGAGATGATGGGTGACAAAAATTTGCTTTCTTATAAACCAGTATGAAGCAGCACAACTGAAAAAAAATTCTCTGGATTTAGGTCACGGTGTCAAAAAAAATGAGCTTTAAAACCTAAAAAAGTTATTAGTGATTGCAAAAAAAATACATAATTACACCAGATCACATATGAAGATTAGGTTTTATTCCCAGAGCTCAGTAATCTATTATTTTACCTGTAAATTAATTCTTGGAATTGTTTAATTTACCTGATTTGCTCTTTTTGCAGCAAGCTTTTCAAATCAGAAATAGAATTCTCAAACTCCTCTATCAGGGATGCATGCAAAGTCTTAGTTTTTTTACATTCTTCCACCTGTGCTTCTTTTTCTCCAGTGACCTCAGTTAATGCTTTCAATGCATTCTGCAATTCAGTTTCTAAGTTCCTCTGAGTAACCTTCAAAAAAAATTTGAATAATTTCTAAAAATGTTTTGCAACAAACAGCTACAATTGTTTAATATCTAAAGTATCAGTAACTATTTATGCAATTACTCATCTAATTATACTGGAAAATTATAAGCCACCTGTACCTCTGTTTTTTGCAATGAAAATCTGGCCTCTTCCAGTTCTGCCCTCAGATGTTCTTGATTGATCTGGGATTCCTTTAACATTTCTCCCTCATGTCCTAATCAAAAATATAAGTGCTTACATTTAAGAAAAATGGGATATTTACTAAAAAATGCTTGCATTTCTATTATGCAGAAAAATACATTCCTACAATTTAAGTTACATAATGTATTTATGTCATTGTTAACGAAAAAGCTTCCAAGATTATTCAACTTATTAAATAACAGTAATCAAAATGTAAAATTACATATATTTCTAGAATTTATCAGAATGCAGCCTGCAAATTCCCAAAATTCTGCTGCTGATTAGTGACAAGATAAAATTATCATGATCCTGTTTCCTATACTTCTATTAATTACATTTTAACGTAGCAGAGAGAACTCTTACTTTTTTCTTCAACTAAGTCAGCAATCTTGTTTTTTGATTCCTGCAGCTGAGTCTTGATGTCTCTTATTATATCATCTTTTTCACCACTCTGTATGGTAAGAACTGAAATCTAACAACATTAAAATAATAGCATAACGAAGTCTAGAAAAAAGGACAGATTTTCACTTTCATTTGTGTACTGTATGTGGTTAGCATAAATGCTGCTGTTATTCAAGTTAAATAAGGTAGTGAGCCGAATATTGATCAAGTGATGCTATTTTGGATGAAAAAGCTCTTCAGATCAAAATCAAAACAGACCACAGATACTGGAACATCACTAAAGTTAGCAGAATCTGAGTTACATGCAGATCCAGCTGTTTTGTCCTTTTTACTGAAACCCAGAAACACTCTTTGTCCCTTTGCAATGTCACATCCATCCTCAGAAAAACCAACAACTCTTGACCTTCCCAGATAGAGATAGATAGATGCTCAGCTTCGCAGAGTCCTGCCTACAAACGAAAAACTCTTCTTGCACCTCATCTTTTCAACTTCATCAATCTTCCATCATGGCTATCTCATCACCACTACAAAAAACCTACTCTAATCTCAGATTCCTAAACTCTCTTACCAGCATGTGGTCTGATATGTATTATAATCCTTCTTCCCGTCTTCCTTTTTACCAGATACAAACTATACCTTTCTTAACTATGGAGAGTGATAATTGCTTTACTAATTTTATGCTTCTGTACAAAGCACTTTACAAAGGTAAATGTATAGAGAGAGAACAGAATAAGTATTCAGCGTTTACATGGTTCTTTTAAATCCTGACAGTAAAATGTCGCTTGCTGCCATACAGCAGCCTAGTTCACATTTTATTCCAAATATGTAACACAGAAGGAATGCACCATCAAAAGGTCATTTGCAATATTACTCTCCATCCTTCCAAAACACATTTTATAAACTAAGCACTTGTCATTATTTTCATCTGATAAACCAGTAAGTCACAAAAGCAAAACAGTTAAAATATTAAACTGCAAGATTTGCTTTAAAAATATTAGATTGCAAAATTGAGCCAACCTGCTTTTCCTTCATGCTGACTTCCAGTTTGCATTCTTTTTCAAGCTTGTCCGCTTTTTCTGCTTCTTCTTTTACTTTTGAGATATCGTAATACCCATAGTTAATATACTAGCTAAAATATATTCCAAGTTAAATACAATATCCAGTTTAAGACTGCTTATAATTGTAGAGTTGAATAATTTGTTTCCTAAAGAGTAATTGGTGAGGTCATGCTTGAAAATATTTTCTCATCATACAAAATAATTTTTGCACCAGCTTTCCACAGAATCAGTACACTATTACTGAAGTATTACTCAACAGTTTGTTGTAAGAAACTAACAGAAATGCACATGTACACATGAAACGGGCACATGATAGCATAAATCAAATATTGAATCAAAATTTCTGTAGCTGGTGGATTATCATTTAAATAAACTAACAACGTAAAATTAGTAGTGATCTCTAGACTACACCTCACAGACAAAACTTACGACTTTGAGTGATAATTCGAAAAATAAAATTCCAAATCTGATCCAGTGGAAAAACAGTAAAAGGGCCCAGGCATTTAATAGCAGGGAGCATGAATAAAAAGGGTCCAGACTGTTACAGTGTTAACTGCTCACCATTCTAGCACTTCCTGTCTTTCTGGCCTGAAACTGCATGCAATAAAATCTATGATGCACAAAATTGCTAAGCCTGCAGTATAAACATAATGAACAGAATTCTCACATTTGAAACACATTTCCAATCTGGTGTTCTCTGTCTGCACACGGAGCTCCTCAAATGCCATTATCATTCTCTAAAAATAAAATTCAAAATATAAATTCACATAAAATGAAGTTCTATAGGCAAGGCAGAATTATATTTATGGTTTGTAAACCAACAGTATCAGAAGCTCATTCTTATTGGTAAGAGAAATTTTGTTAGAAACAAAATTCAGAGGACAAACATTTTGAATTAACAGAATGTTATAATTATTGAAAATTTAAGAACTTTTGTACTTAATATCTGATCAATTTAAAGGATGAAATATTTTTTACTGGTCCATGTTTGTAGATCTCTCACACAACAGGGTTGTTGTGCTTTTCTTAGTTGCTACAATAAATTAGAATTAATAGTTAACTGTTTTAACATTATCTGACCCTCAAACCTGACTGAACATAGCCCTGTGCAAGCTTTAGTTGACCCTGCTTTTAGCAAGGGAAGTTCTCCAGATGTTCTCCAGAGGATGCTTCAAACCTCAGCCATTCTGTGAAATCACCAGATAGATGAAACAATACAAAAAGACGACAGACGGCAGCCACCTAACACTAAGCAGATCATACATACCACACAGATTGTATGAGTCTATATCCCAAACATTGTACAACACAAAAGTAATTCTTGAAGTGTGACTGAAAATCTGGCTTCCTGCATCACACATGACTGTTTTAATCACTTTATTAAAGAATGTTCTTTGTACAAATAGTATCTCAACATATACACACAACTCAGACAGCGCAATATATCCATATAACTCAGACCACATCTGAGTCTTTTCAGAAGCTACATCACTTACTTCGACATTGTTATTAAGTTCCACATATAGTTGTCTTGTTTCTTCTCTTTCATGTTCATCTATCAAAGTAAGAGCACAGCAGACCTTTCACTTTGAAAAAGAATGCCAGCTGTCCACCAAGACATTATGCTTAAACATCACAATTAGTTAAAAAAAGTAATTATAAGACTCTTATCTTATTTTAAAAAAATATTATGAAACAGGGTGCCAAAAGTAATGTAATCTGGAAAAAATGTGTATTCCATCGAAACATTGAGCAAGCTCAGCTTTTCAGATTCCTTTCCCAATCTTGTTTTCTGTGAATAGTGTAATTCTGGACTAATTTATATAACTATATTAATTTTTACAGTATGAATGTTGTTGAATGTATCAAAAATGTGTTTGAAAAACTGCAATACAAGGCTTAACACTGAATTTCTTCCCATCAACAGATATACCCATGATCACAGAACTGTCATTACAGAACCATTACAATACACTATCTTTTTGTTTTCTTTCATTTTTGTAACTGACATTACTTTTTCCTGAGAAAACAATTATAGAAGAGAACAGTATGAAACACAGCTCTCAAAGAAGTACAGTACACCTATACATGTGTTTGTAGAAGCATGGCTAAAAAGAAATAGACACTTCTTAAGTACCCAGGATCAAGTAAGTAAATTTTTAAAGAATACAATAACAATTCTGAATTTCATGCAGAATAAAATCCCAAGCCAAGAACATATTTTAAAACCTTGAGACTTTAGACTTTATTAAATTATCCAGCTGTATTGGCTTGATCAATTTAATGAGAAGAATGCTAGTTACTCATAGTGTCTTGGAGTTTGGACCTTTTTTCCCCATGCATCTGTAACTGCTCCAAATAGGATAATGCCAGCTCTGGAAATCTGTTGAAGAGAGCTGGGAAAGGTAACTAGAGCAGATTCTACTGCCTAAACACAGGCATGAAGTGCCACTGCATATATCTTAATATATTCAAGGTATCTGGACGGGACTGAAAAAGATCAGTGGACCTTGCACTCCCCAGGAATGGCTGATAGTGGCTGATCAGGGTTGCTGACACTGCCTTAAACCTGTGTCAGTGTTTAGGCACCTAAATAGCTCCCAGGCTTGTAACCTTTTAGGAAACAATCACACTGACTTCAGAAAACCTCTTGATTTAGCATTACAAAACATACATATATTAGACATACAGCTTCACTTCTAATTTCACGCTGATGTAGAGCTAGATATAGTTCGTCTCAACTGGCGAATGTATTTGGAACAGAATGATAGCTTTTTCAGGAATTTAGAGAAAACTAGAACTCTATTTACTTTCATAAATCAAAATTTAAATAGCATTTACATTTGGTGGTCTTCTCTGTGAAGTGAGTACAGGTTTCCTTGAGCAGATTACAGAGATGCCTTGAAGCGCTGTTTCTAAAAAAGGGTAAAAAAATACATAGTATGTTGTCACAGGAATATATCATACTTTGCATACCTAAGTAGTAACAATGTAAATGCTCTAATGACTTTTACAATTTAACAGCTATATGTAATTTCCCATATTAATACATTTCTCAGCCTGAAAACTAATACTTTTCACAAAAAATAGATCTGACTGTATTACTTACTCTTTTAAGAGATCTTTATTTTCACATATCTCATCTTCCAGTTTTAAACTTAGTTTTTCATTTTCAAACTAATTTCATAGGGAACAAATAAAAAACACTATTAATGAAAAAATATACTAGAAATACTCTTTCACTTCTCAAATCTCCCATGAAAAAGTACTCTTCTGCATCAGAAGACAGCAATCTGTTTTTTCTGACATTACGTGGGAAACATCTTTTGTTACAGTTTGCATGAAAGACATAGTAAACCGTAATTTACCAGCAACTGAAACACTTACAGGGATGTTATTCATACATATATTCACACACTACTGGTGTGCACTCCTCAGAATAACCATTTTCTCAAGGCAAAAGTCAAAGAAAGATGACTCAGGTTACCAAAGCCAATGCAAACAGCTAACCACAAACAAACCAAAAAAGGAACAATAAATTGTTAAAAATACATATTTCAGTGTCATAGCTGTCCATGACTACCAGCAAAACAAGAAACTAGGATAAAGCAGAGTGGTCTACTTTGTGTATGTGTTTAATACAGAAATATGTATGAGTATACTTTACATGTACCAGGAGAAGGAAAACTTACTCAGTCATGAAGAGGTTTCTGCATATCCACAGTATGATATGCATGCAAATAACACCGATGGAATGTGTATTGTTGAAAAGAGGAAAATAATTTTTAAAAAATGTTACTTTTTCATTTAATCACAGTAGAGTCATAGGTCATTGGTATCTAGCCAAATCATAGAATCATAGAATCATAGAATGGCCTAGGCTGGAAGGGACCTTAGAATGGTTTCTTTGAAGTCATCACATTAACAGCTTAAACCTTCTTCAACCTCTGCAACATTTTTTAATATTTAATTGTATTAATAAAATTTTCATACTAAATCAGGAAGAACTTTTTCTTAACTTTACATGTTCAATGTATATTGTACAATACTGGCCTGCAATTCTTGAATGGCTTTACGCTGTGCTTCAATAATCTTTCTATTTTCTTGCAGTTTTCTTTCTTTATGCTTTAGTTCTGATTCTATAGTTAGTTTCCATCGCTTGATCTTCTCAGCCTCTTTGTAGAGTTTTGAATACAATTCATTCATTGTTCCTACATTCTATTAAAACAGGTGCCGCAATTTAATCTCAAATGCTATTTAATTAATAATGTTTTACATACATATTTAAACCTCAAAAAATATCACAAGAATAAATTTTTTCCATATACGGTGACACAAACATATATATGACAAGGAGACAAAGTTTAAAGCTTTGGGCATCCACAGGCATTACAGAACAAGTAAGAGACACAAACACAAGCACAAAGTGCCTCACTGACTTCAGAAGCAGTGACATTGCTAAATAGATAGTCTTAAAGATATGATTAACTGCACTCCAACAAAAGCGAATAAAAGTTTTGCTAGAATTATCAGTACAACAACAGTCTTCCTGTTAGGTTCTTCACACTATTTCTCTACTCTTATTCTGACAGATACTGCTGAGTTAAGTAAAAGCAGCTTCAGAGATCTTGCCCAAGACTACCTGTGACATTTTTACAGTTAACTCATAGATGAAGCAGGTAGAAAAATCAATCAGCCTTGTGCTCTTACAACAGCTTTAAAGCACTGTCCAGTCAGTGCTCTGTCAGTGGTTTAGGCAGATAAGAGTAGTACAGTAGGCCACAGGGCAGTTCTGTAGTTTGCTTTAGGTACCATGTCACTTAACGCTAGCCTTGGTTTTGGCTGCATCATATTATTACAGTCCTGACTGTACTGTAATAGCTGCTAGGGCTAAACGAACTTTAGTTCTCATGGATATGAAAGTCATTACGAGGACTTGCAAGAAATACATTTCAGGTTGATGAAGAGAACAGCATTTAGTACCTGGGAAGCATAGGAAGCTGTTGCAAAAAAAAATTTAAAAACATAGCTTTACCAAGTTATATTAAAAGACAAAAGTGTTGGTAAGGACGTTATAAGAAGAATCAAACGCATGAAACCACTCCATTAAATTGTTTTATAGATAAATTAAAGGTAGACAAGGCAAATGGGATAATCTGCTTCAACCTTCCAAAGAAAACTTCGACTTCAATCATTCTGGCCTTTCAACAGATTATTCAGAACCAGTTGCACAAAGATATTTAAGAGGCTAAATCTTATTCTGATTAAAAGTCAGATTCTCCAGGCACTTAAAAACAATCAACTTATATTTAAAGGCTGAAGTCCAGGCATGTTTACCTAATCACAAATACCTCCTCCACTTCCTTTAGCCCTGAAGTATCTATTGGCCAGTGCTTTAGGCACTGTTTCACGAACAAATTAAGAGGCTCTAAGAAATTAGATATGCAGAGTTTATACTTAGCTGACCTCTTCATCTACCTCAGAGCAAAGTTTTACTTGCTGTGAAATCGCATCTGAAATATGAAAAGATTTTGATCAATGTATTTTTTAAAAAAGTAACAGTGGAACTATATCTAACAGTGTTACAGCTATGAAATTGTTAAACTACTCATGAGAAATGTCAATGTGCAAGGTAAATGCTTATTTTAGTCTTACCTGAATCAGTGACTTCATCACGACTTGATGTACTCAACATTACAAATGGCAAATTAAAATCATCATCTGGGCATTTGTTAAAACCCTGCACAAATGTAAAAATTAGTCTCTTATGGGTAATTCATAATTAAGGATTATAAAACCCAGGAAAAAAAGGTGCAGCTAATGTGAAAATAGAATTTTCCATTAATAAACCAGCTACCTACAATTTTCAAAGCCCAAGGTATTGGCAGTAGGTTTGGAATTCTCTTGCTTGCTTCTTACTTCACAAGGGCTTTTCAAACTGTTGGTATTTCGTAGTTTGCTTTACAGACTACATGACAAGAACTTATCAGGCATTGCATGCCTGTACGTAGTTCCATGGTAAAGGACTTGTAAAGCAAAATTATTTTTATACAGCCCAGTATTTGTTATTCATTTTTTGCTTTATTCTCAAGAGTAGTTTTGAAACATCTTGCGTCTTAGCATGAGAATTTCGGTTTACAAGGTGTTTTAAAAGTCAAAGAAATTTGTGCCGTCAAATGTAACTCATGTGCTGCCAGAATAACACATTTGAATCTAAACATATTTCGTGAGAAGTCTCAAACGAAAAAATATCTTGTTGAATTCACATAACTCAGAGCATAACAACCGAACATTTTCACAGCACACTTGATCTGGTGGGACCAGTAAATCAAAGCCAGTAAGGGTATCCCAGTGGTACTTCCCACTTACTGTTCTGAGTCACTCACGTAAAATGGCTATTTATCGTTGCTTGTGTACAGTTAAAATTACATAGCAGACACTTGAGAAGATGATTCTCTTCAGTTTTGATAGAACAAGTCTTTTAAATTAAAACTTAGGATGCGCCCCCTCAGCAGTAGTCTTAATAGTGTGAAGAAAAATGACCCCAGTGTGCGTGTGCCTCCGCAGAGCCAGGCCCTAGGCTCTGCTGGGGCCCGACTGTGCAGGGCAGCTCCCCACCCCGTGCCTGTGGAGGGGCCCCTGCCCTCCTCCACCTCTCTCGCCTTGTCTCGGCCCGCTTGCCAGCCGTCGCCTCCAGAGCAATGCCAGGCGAGGCTGATGGTGGCTCCTTTTACCTGACACAGCCCCGTTGCCCGAGCGCTCGCCTGGGGCTTGACTGCAGACACCTGGCCACCGCTCAGGCGCGGCGGCACAAACAACTTAAACGGCTTTTCTTTTTCCATGGCCTCGGAGCACAGGGCGAGTCTCAGCGCCAGCGCCTCACGGCGAGCACA